TTGCTTCTTTTAATGTCTGAGATTTATGAACTTTTCAGACCCTTCCTCTAAATCCTATTGTATTTGTACCTCATGGGAGTGGAATAACAAGGGGTGAGGAGTGCAGGACCTCAGGTCTGGAAGTCAAGGACTTGATCTCTGACTCTGACTCAGTCCCCTACAGTGTCACTAAGGTTAATCACCTGGTCTTTGGGGCCAGAATATCTGGGTTTGATATTGGTCCTTTTACTTGGCTTGAGCCCTTTAACTTCTCTGTGCTTTTGTTTCCTCCTCTGTAGATTTTACAAAAAAATTATGCTTTCTTAATAGGATCGCGGTGAGGTTAAATCTACATGTGAAATGCTTGAAACAGCTTGGCACACAGTTAATTAAGCACAATGAATGTTAAGCCTTGTTTTCATGTTTTTCTGACCCCAGCATGTCATATTCTCTCTCAGAGCTCTATTTTTTTTAACAATTATTTTCTCTTTATTTTTTTTTCATAATTTTATTGAGAAACAAATAGCAATGTGACAGTTTCAAATCAAATTGGTAGGACATTGCATACAGTCTTCCTAGTGGTTATTTGTTGCACAAGATGCAGACATGATGTCCTATTTACAAACACCATTAGAACAAATCCCTCAGAGCTCCATTTGGTCCTCTCTTAAACTTGGGGCTATAAACTGCTGATGGGGTTGCCTCAGGGAACTGTGCTCCTGTCACCTGACCCCAGTGTGCCAAAGACTGCATGCAGAGCCCAATTCTGCAGTACAAAACAAAGGAACCAATATTGAAGACAATGTCACCTAATTATTTTATTCTTTCACCTACACTTGGGTACTGGCAACTGGTGGCCATCAGGATTCACTTTTTCATGAAGAGGTGGTCTTCTGTTTATTTCTGTGGAAGCTTTCCATGCTGTCTGTGTCCTTTGTTGTTGTCCAAGTGTCCCAGATCCTTTTTCATGGGAGCTGATAGCTCTTCCTGTGTGTTCCAGAGAAATGGGATGAAGCCTGAGTGACCTCCTGGAGTGACTCAGTTGTTGTGTGATCTTGGGTTAGTCTTGTACATTCTCAGAGTCGCTGTTCTCATGACTGCAGAGTGGAGGGGGTGAGAGTCTCTAGCAAGTGCAATGTTTGTGTGGCTTAAATGAGACACTTCATCTTAGGGACTTGGCCCAGGCCTCGAAGACACTTTCTGGTAGCTAATACAGAACACATCCACTTCCTTTCTTCCTACTTCCAGACTGCACTGGAGAAATTGTCTATGTGCCTGCTTCCTTGGCTGCTTCTGGCATTGTGTCTTCTTAAGTGGGAGTCAAGAGGGAGGGCCAAACTGAACGCTCTTGAGAGAGGGAGGCAGGATGTGGGAGGGCTCACAGTACCCGGAGGCCAGGGCAGCTGCCTGCCTGGCTCGCCTGCTCGCCGTGGTGCAGCAGTGATGAAGGCTGTCTCTTCCATCCAGGCGAGCTGCATTCTCACTTGGGAACTCTGCCTGTGGTGTATGTGTCTCGTGATGCTTCCCATTTGCTCAGAGAATCTCTCACTTGCACATGGTGAGATGATGGAGTTTTGGTCAATGGCCATCACCTCTGACTTCCCTTTGAGTTTCCTGTCATTGTTTAGTGAGCTGTAATTGCTCACTTTAGGGCATGAAGAAAGTCCTGTGAGAGTTTGTTGGTCACAAAGCTCCTAGACTCCTATCCTGTCTTTAGTGCCTTCTTGAAGGCATTGGTAGAAATTCTTAAATAAAATATGTGGGAAAGATACATTCACTTTCATTGATCTCTAGTGTTCCTAGCTTTCTTTTCAACTGGTTTGATGCCCATAGTCTTTACTATAGTAAGAAGTCAAGGAGAGGGGCTGGTGAGATGGCTCAGTGGTCTAAAGCACCTACTTAGAACAAGCTTAGCAAAGCACAGGGACTGCGGTTCAATCCCCCAGCACCACATGCCAGCGAGCCCCGCCCCCTGGTGGGCTGCGCTGGCCACACACACACACACACACACACACACACACACACACAGATAAATAAATAAATAAAATTAAAAAAAAAAGAAGTCAAGGAGAATGCTGACAACAATGAGCCATGCATCATTTTAACATTTTAAATAAATCATGGAGCATTTTGAACACAGTGGTAATACAGAATAAATCCACCATCTACTTTAGCAGATTTCTGCTTTGTACCATCTTGCTTCAAGAACTTGTTTATTTCTTTTTTTTTTTTTTTTTGTGGAACCAGGGATTGAACTCAGGCCCTTGTGCTTGCCAGGCAAGCACTTATTCTGCTGAGCTATCTCCCCAGCTTGTTTATTTCTTTATCTTACTTTTTGAAGGAAAAAACCCCAAAACATTGCAGCTACAATTAGGGTACTGTGTGTAGCTCATCCCAATCTCACTCCTCTTTCACCAAAATCAATCACTTTTATGACCTCAGTAATTCTGTACTCTGGCTACATGTTCATGCGCTCATAGTCATTTCAAAGCATTGTTTTGGAGACTTTTAAAATTAAAGAAAATGATATCATTATGCAATTTGATTTTTCATCTTCTCAATATTATGATCTGAGATACAGGGCTATGGAGAGATTTAGCGGTAGTTTTAATTTGATATTTGCTCCAGAAAGTAGAACGTGGGTTTCCATCACAAAAATTGCTATGGTATGCTTGTAGGGTCAAAGAAGAAAAAAATCTGTAGGTGGAGAAAGAGAGCATGCGAGATAATTCTCACTGATTTCTTGACTAAGTTGGGCATGGAGGTGGGTGAGTAGAACAGAGAAGCCAAGAGAGGAGAAAAGAAAGCAAATTCTCACTTCCAGAAGTTTCTCTCTGCACGAGTTCTCCTAACCTTAGAGCTTAGAATTCCTTGGTCAGGTGCAGGGCAGCGGAAGTAGCCAGGACTGCACCCAGTGATCTGGATGACCCCTGATTCTTGCTGATCTGCTGTGTGGCCTGGGTGAAATTACCAGTCCCATGTGGGCCTTTGGTTCTTAGCAGTAAAATTAAGAGTCAAACTGAGGGGCTGGGGAGTTGGCTCAGTAGAATAAGCGCTTGCCTGGCAAGCACAAGGGCCTGAGTTCAATCCCTGGTTCTGCCAAAAAAACAAAACCAAGCAATCTCTTGATCCCTCTCAGTTTTCGATAATTATTATCTCCTTCTCACCTTTCTCTCATATTCAGTATCAAGAATTAGTATCTCAATATCAAGAAAATTTCACTTTCCTTACTTTATTTTTAAAATTTTTATTAGCACATCTTTGCAGTACACAGTGAGTACATTTGGGAAGTTGGGACATGAGCATTGCCAGATCGTAAGGATTCTGGCTGGGGGGTTTCTATCCCCCATTCATATCTCCCTGATCCTTCTTTCTCTTGTTCCCCTTTCCATTTGAAAAGATCTCTTTTGCTTTTTATTTGTGTCTTCTGGTTTTCATATATGAGAAACCGTGTGATATTTAAGATTGTGTATCTGGTTTATTTCACTCACAATTATGGTCTCCATTTACCTACAAATGCCCCAACTTTAGTGTGTCTATGGAAAAGTGCTACTTAGTTGTGTGTGTCATACAGGGGAGTCATTTACTTTGCTCCTCCCTGTGCCTCGCTAGGGTCACAGTCCACACGATATACTTACACCCCTGGATTTGTGTTGTCGCTTTGCAGTTGCCCTGTCCCATGTGTCGTGATTCCCATGTGCTTCAGGCCAACCCCAAACACTCACTTTTACCGCATCCTGCCTAGGCTCAAGAACAATCATGTCTTTTTATAAGAATTTCTCATTCATAGACACATGTGCTTGGTGTCACAGCGTGGTGAATTCTCACAAGGTGAAGATGTGATACCATATTGATTTTTGCAGTTGTAACTAACCCATTCTCGCTGAAGTACTTGTTTAGTTCCACGTGGCACCACGTGTTTATCCATTGTAGTGTAAATGGACATTTGGGTGGCTACCAGTGCTTTCTGAATAACTTGGTAGGTGTTTTTCTGATGGACATATGTATGTTACTTTTGGGTGCACACATACGAGTGGAATTGCTGGATTTCAATGGACACACATTTTCAGCTAGAATTGGCACTGTTGGTTTGCCAAAGAGAAAATTTTGTGCTTGTTCGCACTTGCAGCACATAGAATTTCCAGCTGTTCTGTATTCTTTATAAACATTTGTTGTTTTCTTTTTTATTTTAGCTTGTTTGTGCTGTAATGTTTCATTGTGGTTTTAAGTTTTGTTTTCTTGAATTGAACAAGTTTTATATATTTATTGGCTACTTGGATACTGTGTTTGATAAAGCACGCATTTGAGCTTTTAATCCCCTTTTCTAGGGGATTGCTTATCTATTTCTTAAAGATTTTAGCATTCTTTTATGTTCCAGGTTAAGTTCTTTAATGACTGCACACATTGTTAGTGTTTCCTTGTAGTCTCCCACTTGCTCACCACTGTCTTAATTGCATCTTTTGCTTAGCCGAGGTCCTTAAGCTGAATGTATTAGAATTTATTCATAAGTGTTTGGAGAGTAATAATTTTTCCATCCTGCTTAGGAAATCAGTGGCAACTTCAGGCCCTGCATCTATTGCCATCTACTCAAATTCTCCAGGTTTCTAAGTAAACTCAAGCTCCTGGGTTGTGCAAAATATTCTGATTTTTAAGTGATGTTAAGCACTTCAAACTAAAAATTCACAGTGTGGGGAGGGAAAATACCACATAAGTTTGCTTTAGCCTCTGGTCAGATTACCTGCTAAGGAAGGAGTAGGCAGCCTCTCCAAGCCAGGGCCTGGGATCCGCAGCAGGAGCATCACCTGGGAACACATTAGACAAGCAGAACCTTGACTTTTAACTACCAAAGAAGAAGACAAACAGCTGTGCTGCCACCAAAAAAAAAAAAAAAAAAGGTATGGCCACTCTACAAACTACAGAATCGAGGCTCTCTGGACATAAAGCCTATGTACCAAAATTTTTAAAAAGCAACTTTGGCAATTCAGATAGGCAATCAAGGATCGGTACCACTCATTTGGCACAATCCTTCATCTTAAAATAAGTGGGTAAATTAAAAAACTTTCAAGAAGGAGGCAGGTGAAGTGTCTTATCTGAGGTCATTTAGTTTCTGTATGAGAAGATCTGATTTGTTCTCCTTCTCATCTTTCGTGGTTCCCAAGTCCGTGCTTTTTCGCTTCAGTTGTTTCTGGTTCCTGGAGGGCACAACTCCAAATTGGTGCTGTGTTCAGCGGAAGCTCGTTCCTCCCGCTTTCCAGCTAAGCGGCTTAGCTCCCTGCGCTGAACAACAAGCAGCACTTACTGGGCCAGGAACCGTGAGCAGATGGGTCCTCCTCCCTCTTGCCTGTTTGAGCTGACATTTATTTCCTTCTTCCTGTGTGCCACCGCCGAAAGTGCTAACGCTTCCTACCTGAAGGATGGGAAGCATCTCTACTCAGATGTCAAAATCTGCCTAGGCACAATGGAAGCTACACCTCTTGATGACAATATGAGGATTTGGGTGCAGATTAACCAGCATGAGGGCGACTGCTTTGTTTCTGATGTGCTTGCTCCTGGGCCCTGCCGTTAGAGGCACAGGTCCACAGACCTGGCAGGCCTACTCATCTTTGACCACAATTTTTCCAGGAACTGGGAGGATTAATCTTTGAGCAGCTTCATGGTCAAAAGGACAGATTCCAGCAACCAGTGTTAGTGTGCTAAGAAACTGCATTCTCTTGTATTTTGGGAATAATATGAAAGAGGCCCATATTCTAGAACTCTGAAAACTCCCCATACTTTTATATCAAATCCCTCATATTTTGGAGCCACACTCTTGTTTTCAATGTTCTGTCATCAAAATTCCACTGCCCTCAATCTCCCTCTCCAGCCTGAATCTTGGTTTTCTTGTCCTTTTTGCTCCACTTCTGTAGCTGCAAAGACAGGAAATTTTGGAGAGGTAGGAGTGGAGAACAGCAGTCTGGGGTCACTCAAATATGTCAGGGCCCTGACAACTCTGCCCCAGGTATCTCTCCAATGATACTATTCTTCCAAATTCTTCTCTATTCCTCCTGTTATCCAACCATTGAGCTTAAACCTTGTTGTAGACAGATCTGTAAGGCATGTGTAGGCTCCAGCTCCAGCTGTGTTGAGCACCTTTTGTGAACTATACATTGGGACTTGGTTTAGTCCATAGACAGGAATCTACTTCTTTAATAAAAGGGGGACACCCAGGCTGCTGCATAGTTAAGATAGCATGTATGACAGCTCTTTGATAATAGATGGCCACATACTATTCAAAAGGCAATGGTTATAACAATAAGAATTTTTCCATGCTACCAGTCCTGGAAGCTAATTGGCATTTGACGAAAACTTTCAGTCCATGTTTCCAACTTGCTTAAACTCTTACAAATTGTCTTTCATCTCACCTTCTCCAGGTAAAGAAGGTCCTTCCAAGGATCCAACCCTATCCAGTGAACATATATCCTGTTCTGAATTTCGAGGAAAATGTTTCCTGCCACAGAACATGACACCAGGTATCTAAATCCCAGAGATAAGTGCTACTTGAAACACAAACAAACACTTCTCTTAGAATATTTCAGTAACCTCCTTATCTCTCCTATCTGTAGACTCCTCCTCTTTCTCTTTGCATGGTGCCATCACCAAATGGACCTTTGTAAGCTTTAAGCATACTTGCTCGCTTACAAATCTTCCATTATTCTCCATCACCAACAAGGTCAATTTAAATTTTTCCTGGCTATATTCAAAACTTCACAATCTAGCACATATGGAGTTCCTTGTGTGTTTTCTGGGTTAGAGAAACTATATCATCACTAGACTTTAAGATGACTGGATTAATTTTTAAAAACTATGAATTTAATTATTTATCTCAAAGAGTTGGTTATATTTAGTTGGTGCTCAGGAAGTGTTTGGTAGGTACATGAGTGGCTGGATGACTATGTGGTAGTCACATTTATATTCCTTACAGGACTGACATGCTACCCTCCTGTAGTGGGCCCTGAATGATTACTGCCATATAAATGAATGAATAAATGAAAGGTTGAATATGTAGGATGGAGTTGGCTGAGCAGAAAGGTGCTTCTATGATTGTTCAAAAACAGAGAACGATTTGGAAGGCAGTGAGAGAAAGACCTCATTTTTAGTATGTGTCTCATACAAGGTCTCCTTTAGGAGACTTCAATGAAACCCACAGCAAGGAAGTTTTCATTAGAGAAAGCTACATGGGCTGAATTCTGCACCAGAATTCAGAATCCCGAGGACACACGTGTAGCAGTAGTGGGTTCTGTTGTACAGCAGCACTGGCCATTCTGAGCACAAATCACATGCCCAACGATCTCTTGTTTCTCTCCCCCTTGCCTGCCCCCCATCCTTGTGGGGGCACCGACGTCCTCATTAACAGGTGTGAGACAGAGACCCAAAGGTGGAAATGACCTAAGGGCCCCCCGGGTAATACGTGATGAGCTAGGAAGGGGTTGGGACCTTATTTGTAGCAACCACGAACCATTAAAGACAGGCTTTTATCCTCCAAGATTATACTTCTCCCTGGGATACAAAATACAGATTTGTGAGAAAGAGCCACATTTTGAATTTTTAAAGTCCATAAGCCATCTAGACAGATAGGGTATAACTGTCATGCTAGGATCTTTCTATTCTCAGTTTCAAATTCTGTCAGAATGCTTGGTTGATAATGAGAAAAATCTTACCCTTTGCTTTTTGATTATTGTGTCAATCTGCTTATCATCTGTCAGCTTGGGACAGCCCAGAAAAAAACCTGAATTACCATCTGTTGTTTCATGAACGCAGAAGAGTCAGCATTTTCACTTTATTAATGCATGAGAGCCGATGAACAAGGGATATCTTTAGGTGAAGCTAAGCTGACCACAGGCTGAACTTGTTCCTCTCTCAGCATTTTCTGCGGTGAGGCTGATTCCAGGGAGGTCAGGCTGTGAGGAGGAGAGCCTTAGTACTAATTGCCCATCTTTCTATTGTGCAAAATAGTCAAGAGATAGAGTCAGCTCAATACATTACCCTGGTTACAGGGCTTGCTTCCAGAAGACAACGATATGATGCTCTAACTTCACACTAAAACTCAGGAGAATTTGATTTCCTGCTTCCTCTGGCACTGAACAGGCTGGGTACCCAAGATTATAGCTACACACACAGAGGCTCTGCTCTGAGCAGCCATCTCACTGGTTGGGACCACCAAAGCAGTTTGCTTGTTTACACCAGGTCTGTTGGGTTTTGTATATGTGAATTCATAGGAATAGAGATGTGACTCACGCCATCGGCACTGCCCATCAGCAGAGATTATTCCACTATCAGCAGAGACTATTGCAAGACAGATTCTGAGAGGAGCTGGATCAGGTTTAGAAGGACGGAAAAATTGAGTTTGGCAGACAGAAATCACAGAGCAGTTATCTTCAGGGTCATGATCCGCTGAGCGCAGTCCCAAGCAGTCTGGGGGAGGGGATGGTGCAGGGCCCAACAGCTAATGCTTTGTGTGTTTACTGAACACTTCATATGTAGCACACACTGAGTAAAATGTTTATATGCACTTATCACTGAGTAAGTCCTTTAAGCCCTGTAGGCTAAGCCTCAGGAAAGCCATTTTTTATTAGGAAAAGTGAGGAGCAGAGAGATGACGAATTGTTCAGGATGGGATCGTTTCTGAGTGGCAGAGCCAAGACTTGAGCACAGGCCTGACTCCTCCCTGGGTTCTGTGCTTGTGGGGTGCCTCCTGCTGCAGGTCAGCATGCAGTAATGCTGCCAGGTTGGGGCCCGGCAGGTTGCCAGAGATGGGAGAGGGCTGGAAGGGACTGAAACAGGGAAGAATGGAGCAGGAGAAACAGTACCTGCCATGCACACCTGTCCGGTCACTTGAGGGCGCCATATGTGAGCTCATGGGCACCATAGCGATTCTGGGCCCCTAGGTGACAGGCAGGTCTCTTAAAGAGTAGTGTCTGGGTTGCTCTGTGGGCCCTGCCAGGGCCTGTTTCTAACCATTTCAGGAATCTGTGAAAGTCCTGGCTAGCTGGGGCTAGAAGAGGCCTCTCAGTATCATTCCATCCAGTGCCTTCCCTGATCATTGTGTCAGATAATTGTTAACACGACCGCCAGTGTCTAAAGAAGACATATTTGGAGGACAATCCTATATAACGTGAACTCCGCAGTGTGGCATTTTCTGACGCATTCTCTAAAGGCCTCTGCCCTGCACAGCTGCTCTGTAATATTTTCTTGACTCTATATTTCTTATTCATAGCACTTTCTCCATCTGAAATGAGTGTGCTTGTGGAATTAGTTATTGGCCAAGTAGAATTCAAACTCTAGAGGAGCAAAGTGCGCGTCCACCTTGTTCCCTGCTGTAACCTCAGCACCCAAAATGGTTTCTGAACTTGAGGCTCTCAGATGACTGTTTATTAAATAAATGTCCATTCTGAAGAAATTGAAAGCTTTCACATAGCAGACGTTTGTCCCGACAAACATCAACACATGAAGCAGCAGCAAAAGCAGGTTAGTGTTTGATGTTCCTGTGTGTGGCTCAGAGTACAATGTGTGAGTGGGGCACTGGGTCTACTCCCCGCGGGGTGAAAACAACAAAACAAAACGAGGTTAGAGAAAGTATATTTCTGTATGTATAATGCGTAAAATATATCGTTTCTATTATGTACTATATGTTTGAAATATAAATGAATTTTCTTAAATATAGATAAAGTAGTGTTCATTCAAAGCTTTCACAAATCGTCTGGTGGAAACAATATACGTCCTAGTTGGTCAGCATCAAAGCGGAAGTAGCTGATGCCAGTGAACTCCGGACCTTCCCAAGCCCCAGGGGCTCCATCGTTCCTCTCGCTGCACCCAGGGGAGGATGGCAAAGGTGTGCATGGAGGCTCCTTAGGCCCACCCTAGTCTGTGATGACTGAGGATAGCAATTTAGGATTTAGCTAGACATGTGGGGAAACGCCGAGAGTGTTTCTAACACTCCTCTTGCACTGCACGAGCACATGTAGCCAGCTCCTTCTCCCCGCTCTCTCTCAGATCTGACGTTGTCCTTCTGCGTGAAGAGCCGCTCCCGGAGGTGCGTCAATGCGGCGCTGCAGGAAGCTGTGCGCATGCGCCTCTGGGCGCTGGAGAACGAGGACCAGGGCGCTCGCGCGCTGTTCAAGGTGAGCAGTGGGGTTGGCAGCACACGGGTTCTCTGCACCGAGCTTGGAGCTTGTGTCCGCGTGCCGTGGGATTCCTAGCACCTTGGATGGGGCCAGCAACTAAGTAGTCCCTCAAGCAAAGACCGCCTGGCCAGCCCACAAGGCTGAGAGAGGGAAGAATGTGTTGCCTACACCTCCGCCGAGCGAACGGGTGCGGGCTACTGCTTGGCAGGAAGGAGCAGACACTGGGACAACCTGAAGGTGCTGAGTCAGGGAAAACTTGGTCTCAAATTTGCCAGTGTTCATTGCACGGGCTTTGCAAATTACTTAAGCTCTGTAGAATGAAACTCATTATAGCATCTCGTAACAGCACTTTATTCACATGCAGTAATTTTGAATTCTATTTTTGTTACTGTGTGACAATATACATAACATTTTCTGTTATAATTATCTTTAAGTCTGCAGTTTGCTTGTATTTAACTCACTGCCAACAATCCCCCAAACTGTTATATCATCTCAAACTCAAGCTCTGTACCCACTAAACTATAAAGCCCCATAGTCTCCATTTTCTCCAGATTCTGGTAACCAATAAGTATAGATTTTATTCCATTAAACTTTTTTTCGTAGTACCTAGAGCTTCATGCACGCTGGGTAAGTGCTGTATGCCTGAGCCACACCCAGGCCATGTTAATTATTCTTACTGTTCCAAGGAAAGTTCTGTCTCAAGACCCAGCCCTGCCCATTCAGCCCCAAGCCCCTGAGAGGATCAGGAGGTCCCAGCCAGAGCCACGTCAGGAGTTCTGGTTGTTTGGTTCTCACTTGAGCATGATGTTTAACCTCACTCCCTTTTGCATGTCTCAAAGACCATCAGGGCTTTCTCTAGAGGAAACCTGTGGGTGACAGAGGGTTTGTAGAAACACACCCTTGACATCTACCTCCAGGATGGCTGCATGCACGAGGGGTACCTGGTCATCGCTCACCCCAGCCCCACAAGCAACATGGTCCGTGCTGAGGAGAGGTATGGATACCCTCCTGGATGGTGCTCTCTGCTCCTCTGTAGTTGATGGAGACTTCTGGCTTGCTTCCCAGCAGCCCGCACAGCTTGCTGGTGATTTCCTAGGGGATGACGTTCTCTTCAGAGAGCTGGAGAACAAAAATCTGCCCAACTTCTTTGGCTTTGGACAACTGAGAGGTGGACAGATCAGTCATGTCTAATGCTGCTACATCCATTGCTGTGGTCACTGTCAAAGTGACCAGCTAGCCTGGCTAAACTCATACAAAGACCTTGTACCCCAGGCAGACCCCACCTGGTCAGCAGGCATGGATTCTCACAGAGTGGCTTGCACAGGTCCCCTTCTCAAAGGTGACACTGTCAGGATGCTTATAGCAGAAGTTAGTGTCCTGCTTGCAGAAGCAATGGAATTTGAGCATCGCATTTAACCTCACTCCCCTTTTCTGGGTAAGCACTCTATGAGGGGGGGTGTGGCACAGAAGATGAGGTGAAGAAGATGGGGTGCCAGATTGCATCCACTGACCTTGCAGAATTCATTTCTCAGGGGCCTCAGGCTCTCTGGTGATGCCATCACCTGATTTTTGGAGTTTTCTCAATGATTTCACATTGTGACTGTCCCCGAACCTTCATGCCCCATTGGCTTCTTCATAATAAAATACCCAAAATCTGACCCTGCTGCCAGTAGTGGTCCCAGGGTACACCTCATTTGGACTGCATTCATGGGTGGGGTAGTTCTTCCAGCCAATGTCTCTAGGCCAGTGCACCACCAGTGACAGGTTTTCCGCCTTGGCTGCCACCACCATGGCACTCTGGGGTTCTGGGCAGTGGACATGGAGTAGTGGGGCCCTAAAAGTACAGACTGATTAATTGCAGTACTAGAGATTGAACCCAAGGCCTTCATGTTGAGCTACGTCCCAGTCATCTATCTATCTACACTTTTTTTTTTTTTTTTTTTGGAACCGGGGATTGAACTCAGACCCTTGCACTTGCCAGGGAAGTGCTTATTCTACTGAGCCATCTTCCCGGCCCATCTATCTACATTTTTAAAACAAGGTCTTACTAAATTGCTAAGTTTCCCAGGATGTACTAAAACTTGTGATCCTCCTGGAATGCTGGGAGCTTGGTCACGTAGAGATTTGCCAGTCAAAACCCAATAACTGGAGGGCTGGCCAAATAGTTCAGTGGATTAAAGCCCCTGCAAGCAGGGGCAGGGGCTGGGGTTTGATCCCTGGGCCTGCCGTGCTGGATCTGCCCCTGGGGCAAGCTGAGATGGCAATTGAGACTGGGCGTGGTGGCATGCACCTGTAATCCTAGGTCTTGGGAGGCTGTAAACAGGTGGATCACTATGAGTCTGATGTAATGAGACCCTAAACACTGTGTAGACCCTTTCCTAAAAAAAAAAAAAAAAAAAAAAAAAAGAAAAAAGAACTATGTAATTACTAATACATAGTAGGATGAGAGAAGAAAAAAGCAACAAATAAAATGGTTACTTCATTTTTCATTAGGGTAGATAACATCTTTGATTGCTAATCCAGGGAAGAAAGGTATGACCAAATTGTTCACAGTTTAGGAGGTACTATCTAAGAAAACTAAAGGCAGCAGTGGGTAAAATTTATTTCAGTTAGCTGTGGGGGAAGGTGAATATTTCTTTACATTGTTAATTGATAGGTTCTAGCTAATATAGTTTGAATTAATTGTATAAAATGAAAAGCAAAAATTGCTGTGTAGTGTAGCAAAATATGTTTGGTTTTTCATGAGAAGACAATGCGATAGCATCTATCAAGAGCTTTGCATTGTACCTGGGTGGTTGTATACGTTCTATAAATTGTAGCTATGGTTATAAATTTTTATTTTATTACACTTAAGCCCTGGACTCCAGGAATGTGGCATCACTGGATGCTGACTGGTGCAACAGATCTCTTTCATTTGAGTTACCTTGGGCGTGGGCAGGAGCAGGCTCCATTGAGACAGCCGATCCCCTGGGCCATGGCTTGAGCTGTGAGTGTGTGGGGAAGGCTAAGGCCCAAAGGCAGCCGGACTGAAGAGACAGGCAGGGCTCTCCAGATGACTTATTGCAGGGCGCACTGGGTGGCTTTCTTCATCTCCCTGTGTCCTGGTGTTCTTGAATATAACATCATAGTCCTGTCATTTTCATTAGGTTCAACGTAGCATTGATTCTAACATACATCATTATTTTGTGTACCTCTAAGAGAAAAGAAATGTGATTTAGGTGCGAAACATTCTTTTTTGTTATTTATTTTAGAAGTGATTAAAGGTTACAAAAGCATATGTAGATCTAATCTAATCTAATCACACTTTCTTCATAAGATTACTGTGGGAGTTAAATGAGGTATTTCTTAAAAAACTCTAGCAAAGTGGCTGACATGTAGTAAATTATCTGCATAAAATTTTTCTTAGCAGCTGTACCTTCCCTTTAGGACCTGTATCATCCAAAGATTTGTGGCATCCCGGCGTCTGGTAGAGAGGAAGTTCAGATTTGAATTTGCTGAACCAGGGGTTCTTGTTCTGTATCTTTCCATCCTGTCTGTTCCTTAAGGTTCCCTGAGGAAAGGGTCTGGTACCTGCGTTTGATTGCAGAACCTGGTTCTACTCATTACGATTTGACCATTCAACTCTAGGGGCTTGGTCAGGAACAGAGAAAGATGTAGGGAAATCAAGACTGGGCAGTGATTCAGGTCTATTTTTTCATATATGAAAACATCAGCCTTGTGGTCCTCTTGCTTTGCTTGTGCTCATGTAAACTGGAACAAATTTTCTAGTCTGGAGGGCAGGTAGATGTTTATTTTGAGGTGGAAAATGTATACATCTTTGCATTTCTAATTCCATTTTCTGCAGTTACTTATGTCAAAATAATTGAGATGCACAAAGATTTACCTAGAAGGATGTTCATCCCAGTACCATTTAAGACACCAAAAAATGTAAACTGACCCAAAAGTGAAACCACTGGGAAATGACAAAAATTCATTATGTTAATGCATCAGTGGAAAATAAGCAACTACTAACCATAATGTAGACAATATAATGACACAGGAGGTGGTTCACATAGACATAGGTTCACAGTCAGATTTGCTTATAAATTTTTTTCTCTGATTCATCCCTGCTCTCCTATGTACACTTTTTAAAAACATAAAGTGTGTCATCTCCTGCACATAGTTTTATACTCTGGTCTCTTTTTCGTGCTCTTATTTTTCCACTTACCAGTGTTGATTTGGAACCTCTGTCAGGATACAAAGAACTCTTTTATTCTTTTTAAAAATTTGTAATGTTGGGGGCCGGGGAGATGGCTCAGTGGAATAAGCACTTCCCTGGCAAGGGCAAGGACCTGAGTTCAATCCCCAGTTTAAAAAAAAAAAAAAAATGCATTTGAAATGCAGTGGGATCGTGAGATTAAGCTTGATAGTCTAAATTGTTTGATAATAACAATAAG